CTAAGGGAGCGCCCAGCCACTCTGCGGAGGAAGCTCATTTCGACCGCTTGTATCCGCGATCTCGTTCTTTCGGTCATTACCCAAAGCTCATGACCATAGGTGAGGGAGGGAACGAAGATTGACCGGTAAATCGAGAGCTTTGCCTTTCGGCTCAGCTCCCTCTTTACCACAACGGTCCGATACAGCGACCGCATCACTGCGCACGCTGCACCGATCCGCCTGTCAATCTCACGCTCCATTCTTCCCTCACTCGTGAACAAGACCCCGAGATACTTGAACTCCTCCACTTGAGGAAGGACCTCTACACCCACCTGCAGAGGGCAAGGCACCTTTTTCCGGTCGAGCACCATGGCCTCGGATTTGGAGGTGCTGATTCTCATCCCAGCCGCTTCACACTCGGCTGCAAATCGTCCCAGTGCATGCTGCAGGTCCTGGTTCGTTGGAGCCAACAAGACAACATCGTCCGCAAACAGCAGAGATGAAATCCTGTGGTCTCCGAACCGGACCCCCTCCGACCCCTGGCTGCGCCTAGATATTCTGTCCATAAATACAGTGAACAGAACCGGTGACAAAGGGCAGCCCTGTCGGAGGCCAACATTCACCGGGAACAGGTCTGACTTACTGCCGGCAATGCGAACACAGCTCTGGCTCCGGTCATACAGGGATCGGATGGCCCTCAGCAGAGGACCTCCGACCCCGTACTCCCGGAGAACCCCCCAAAGGACACCCCGGGGAACACAGTCGAACGCCTTCTCCAAATCCACAAAGCACATGTGGACAGGTTGGGCGAACTCCCATGAACCCTCGAGTATCCGATGGAGAGTATAGAGCTGGTCCAGTGTTCCGCGACCGGGACGAAAACCACACTGCCCCTCCTGGATCCGAGATTCGACCATCGGCCGTAGCCTCCTCTCCAGTACCTTGGAGTAGACCTTACCGGGCAGGCTGAGGAGTGTGATCCCACGATAATTGGAACACACCCTCCGGTCCCCCTTCTTGTAGAGAGGGACCACCACCCCGGTCTACCACTCCATTGGAACTGCCCCCGATCGCCACGCGATGCTGCAGAGACGTGTCAGCCAAGACAGTCCTACAACATCCAGAGACTTTAGATAATCAGGGCGGATCTCATCCACACCCGGAGCCTTGCCACCATGGAGGCTACCAACCACCTTGGTGACCTCAGCCAGGGAGATGGATGTATCCGCCCCAACATCCTCAGCCTCTGCCTCTGAAACAGAGGACGTGACGGGGGGATTGAGGAGAACCTCAAAGTATTCCTTCCACCGCCCGACAATATCCCCAGTCGAGGTCAGCAGCTCTCCACCCGCACCGTACATGGTGTTGGCAAAGAACTGCTTCCCCCTCCTGAGGCGCCGGATGGTTTGCCAGAATCTCTTCGAGGCCGACCGATAGTCATGCTCCATGGACTCTCCGAACTCCTCCCAGTCCCGGGTTTTTGCCTCTGCAACAGCCCGGGCCGCGGCACTCTTGGCCTGCCTGTGATGGAAAGCTGCCTCAGGAGTCCCCCGAACCATCATGGCTCGATAGGACTCCTTCTTCAGCCTGACAGCATCCCTTACTGCCGGTGTCCACCACCGGGTTCGGGGGTTGCCGCCGGGACCAGCACCAGAGACCTTGCGACCACAGCTACGAGCCGCCGCATCGGCGATTGAGGCAGAGAACATGGTCCACTCGGACTCCATGTCCCCCTCCTCCGCCGGGACCTGGGAGAAACTCTCCCGGAGGTGTGAGTTGAAAGTCCGTCTGACAGGGGGCTCAGCGAGACGTTCCCAGCAGACCCTCACTATACGCTTGGGTCTGCCAGGTCTGACCGGCTTCTTCCCCTGCCAGCGGATCCAACTCACGACCAGGTGATGATCGGTTGACAGCTCCGCCCCTCTCTTTACCCGAGTGTCCGAGACACGCGGTTGAAGGTCAGATGATACAACAACAAAGTCGATCATCGACCTCCGGCCTAGGGTGTCCTGGTGCCACGTGCACTGGTGGACACCCTTGTGCTCGAACATGGTGTTCGTGATGGACAAACTGTGACTGGCACAGAAGTCCAACAACTGAACACCGCTCGGGTTCAGATCAGGGGGGCCGCTCTTCCCGATCACCCCTCTCCAAGTGTCACTGGCGTTTCCCACATGGGCGTTGAAGTCCCCCAGGAGAATAACGGAGTCCCCGGGCGGTGCACCGTCCAGTACCCCTCCCAAGGACTCCAAGAAGGCCGGGTACTCTGCACTGCTGTTAGGCCCGTAGGCCGTCACAACAATGAGAGACTTGTCCCCCACCCGGAGGCGGAGGGACGCGACCCTCTCATTCACCGGGGAGAACTCCAACACGTGGCGGCTGAGATGGGGGGCAATGAGTTTCTCCCCGCGGGAAACTCCAGAAAAGTGGAGCGTCCAACCCCTCTCAAGGAGTTGGGTTCCAGAGCCCAAGCTGTGTGTGGAGGTGAGGCCGACTATCTCTAGTCGGTATCGCTCAACCTCCCCCACAAGCTCGGGCTCCTTCCCACCCAGTGAGGTGACGTTCCACGTCACCACCGTGGCGGCACGGTGGCTGAGTGGATAGCACTCTCGCCTCTCAGCAAGAAGGTCCTGGGTTCGAATCCCGGTCGGACCAGGGCCTTTCTGAGTGGAGTTTGCATGTTCTCCCCGTGTCTGCGTAGGTTTCCTCCGGGTACTCCGGTTTCCCCTACCACTAAAAATATGTCCAATAGTTCTGGCATGCGCCTCCTGTACTGGCGACCCCGCTCCCATCTCTGTGTGGAGTGAGAGACAAATGCCCATAATTAACAATTGTAAACCGCTTTGAGACTCAGATCTGCAGTGAAAAGGCGGTATATAAATAAAAACTTACTTACTTACTTACCCAAGAGCCAGCTGTTGTGTGTGCGGACTGGGTCGCCGAGGTCTCCGCCTTCGACCGCTGCCCAGTCCTCTCTGCACCGCTTCACCACGGACCCCTCTGCGGGTGGTGGGCCCACAGGAGGGACTGCCCACGTCGTCCATTCGGGCTGAGCCCGGCCGGGCCCCGTGGGCTAAGGCCCGGCCACCAGGCGCTCGCATACGAGCCCCGACCCCAGGCCTGGCTCCAGGGTGGGGCCCCGGCTGCGCCATGCCGGGCGACGTCACTGGTCTCATATAAGTGCTGTCCATGCTGTCTTCTGGACTGCTCTTTGTCTGACTCGTCACCTGAGACCTGTCTGCCATGGGAGGCCCTACGAGGGGCATGAAGTCCCAGACAGCATAGCTCCCAGGATCATCCGAGTACTCAAACTCCCCCACCACGTTAAGGTGGCAGTCCAGGGGGGAGAAGGGCAAGTCTTATTTTCCTAAATTTTAGTCTTTGAATATGACGGACATGAATCGCAATATATCACAGAATTGAATCACTGTGCTGTCTGTATCGCGATATTATAAGAATCGCAATAATATTGAATTGTGGCCCAAATATCGTAGTACTATAACATCTCACATTTTTCACATTCTCAGCCCTACTGTACGGTCGCTGTGTAAAAACATACCGTCCCATCTTTAGCTGTGTTTAACTGAATGCTTCCTTTACGTCCTTCTCTCCGTGTGAATCAGAGCCGATGAATTGGGACGGCCTTGTAACGAGATAAACTAATGCCTTATGGTTGTTCTGTTGGATAATGTGAGAGTGTAGCCAGTGTAGAAGTGCTGACGACACACAAACGCTCGATAAGCTTTACCCCGTGTTCTAGAAAGGTCATTCCAGTTTTCCATCGCCCTTGAAAGTCGCTTTTGAACCACAAAAGGCAACGCTACTTCACTGGTGGCGCTTTATGGCATTATGTCTCTAATGAGCAGCTTGTCAAGTCAAAGGAAATTCAACCTTGGCCCCCTGGTGTTTCTCCCCATACTGGGGATAAACATTCAGGTTTGAATTTGATCTGTTAATTCTGTGTCCTCATCAAGAAACATAATGTAAATCCACCCCTTCTGTCTAAATGCCCTCGTCTCAACTCTATTAATCCTTACACTATTACATCATGGGCGGGGCATGTCTTTTGTAACATCAGGAACCGTCTCTGTCTCTGAAGTCCTCTCACAGTCTGGACTCTATTTGCGACTTCTGTGTCCAGACATTACTTCTATGACACTTTTGGACACTCAAAGACGCTTTACTGAAGGACAAATGAGAAACAAAAATAATAAGCCTTTCCAAAGTGCTGCACAGATAAAAGTAACACATTAAGTATACAAGTCAACCAGCTTAAAAAAATAAAATCAAATAAATAAAAATAAATAAAAATAATAATAACAAAAAAAAAATGAAAACAATAACAAAAAAAATTATTAAAAGAAAAATGATGTATATACATAAATAAAAACGATAAATTAATATAGAGGACCAAAAAACTCTCACGGTGTTAAAAATGAATAGTCTGCTTGATTCGGACCATTTTCACTGCTCGGGCTCAGAGTGAAATTCTGATTGCTTTATTAGCATTTTTCAACCACAAAAAATCTTGATCGGCTCTGTTGGGACCATGCATCCTCTGCTCTGGTCTGGATCTCTGTGAAACCATGTACACGGAGCTGCAGTAAAATTTACAGCTTGGGAAAAAAAAAATCAGTTTGAGTTACTCTGGACTTGCTGTTTCGAGTGCATTCAAAAGTGAATTGTAGGAGATTTTCCCCATAAATCTCAATGCAGACCTCAGTTTTGCTTTACAAATATTCAACATTTAGGTGGGTAAACTAGAACTGTTTGCGGCCTGGCTGAGCCCTTTGGACATCTGCTCCAAATATGAACGTTCAGCTTTGCTTCAGCCAGAAAATCAACAACAACAATCGCTCTCCTTGTAGTTTCTGGCCTTTCACAGAATATGACGAAGACCGTTGGAGTCCGCTTTACTGGACATGGGACTAAAGACGCCATGTGTTGTGTTGGCGCTGGGAAGGCCTGAGTCGGTGAATGTGTCGATCTAAACGTTTGGCTTCTCGTGTGTTTGTTCACAGATCGCCCGAGACTTCAATCCAAACTGGATGAGCGCGGTGGAAATCCTGGACGACGATAATTTCCTGGGAGCAGAGAACGCCTTCAACCTGTTTGTGTGTCAGAAAGACAGGTGAGGGAGGGGTGCTTTTTGTATTAGTTCTTAGTATTAAAATTGGAGGCAAATATTTGAATATAACAGCCAAAATGAGGTGGTGTAAAGCAGGGTTGCAAAAACCAAATTAAGATGAAGAGATCCTTTATTGGTCCCACAGTGGAGAAATGTCAGTGTTGCATCACCGGTTACAGAACAGTAGGAGTGAGGAGCACAAGATAAGTCGGCAATAACTCTATAGTAAAGTAAAATTCTCTAACTTTAGAATAAAAAAGAAGCACGTATAATTCCTGCATCTTCTAGTGCAGTAGTTGTATGTATACATCTGTACATGTTAGAAGCATGTGGGTCTGGGACACAGTGACTCAGTAAAATGACAAGAGAAGATTAATGTGGGCGTGTTATCCAATGCTTTTTGTATGGCGTCTTTCCTCTCGAAGTCATCTCTAGAGGATGGTTCAGAAGTGGCTCTTGGTCCAATGCTACGTTCCAGATGCTGTCAATGCTGAGGGGAGATTTCTTTTTTTTACCAGTCTAGTTAAGGGGCTAAGGAGTTCAGAATGCACACTTAAATGATTGGGGCTCATGCAGCTAACACTTGTGCTAAGTATCCCCCCCACACACATACTCACGCCCCCCTACCCCTCATGTCCTCTGCCCCATGTGGTTCTAGAGAGCTGACCTTTACCTCTGCGTCTCCATCCTCCTCCTTTCATCATAAGCTCTCCATCATCTCCTGACCTTTCCTCATCGTCTGTGTTTCTCTGTCTGCATCTTTCGCCGCCGTCTCGCTCACGGCTCTCCCCTCAACGCAACGCTCTCTCCACATGGTTTTTACCAAATGCCAGGTTTTTCGGGCAATCTGTTATGGCTGAGGCTTCACGTTCACAGGGCAGAATTTAAACACGTGCAGGAGGATTCATGACCAGCGCAAATAACCAACGGCGACTGATTTTTACCAATTTGATGTGTAAAAGTTTGACTTTTTTGCATCTAATTATTTTAGCCTTAGCGGACATACAGACAAAGCAGACACTAGGGTCGGGAATGGGCTAAAATCTGATGATTCAATAGTATTTAGTTATTTGGTCCATTATTCAATGTGAGATTCTTAACATATTGATTTCCTACTGTTCTGTAACTGCTGATGCAACACTGACGTTTTATTGTGGGACCAATAAAGGATCTCTGCATCTTAATACAATCTCTCAGGGTGAAAATATATAGCCTGGGTCTCTCCATACCTGCTTTCTGTTCTCTCCTCTCCTCTCCTCTCTCTCCTCTCTCTCTCGCTCCTTTCTCCTCTCTCTTTCCCTCTCTCCTCTACTCTGAGGCATAAAAGTCTCAAGGAACATTATATTCTGTGCTTGCCATAACAAAGAAGGCACCAGCCAAGAAGGAAAGTATATGAAAGTATAAGCCACTTTCCCTGTGCTCAGTCTCATGCTGGTCCTTGTGCTTTCTCTCACGCTGGTCACTGTGCTCTCTCAAAACTGGTCCCTGTGCTCACTCACACTGGTCCTTGTGCTCTCTCTCTCTCACAATGGTGCCTATGCTCTCTCTCCTGCTGGTCCCTGTGCTCTCTCATGCTGGTCCCTGTGCTCTCTCTCATGCTGGTTCCTATGCTCTCTCTCACGCTGGTCCCTGTGCGCTCTCTCTCTCATGCTGGTACCTGTGCTCTCTCCCTCAGCGCTGCCACCACAGACGAGGAGAGGCAGCACTTGCAGGAGGTGGGGGTCTTTCACTTGGGGGAGTTTGTGAACGTGTTCTGCCACGGTTCTCTGGTGCTGCAGAACCTGGGGGAGAGCTCCACCCCCACTCAGGGGTCCGTGCTGTTTGGGACCGTAAACGGCATGATCGGTGAGTGACACTCAGGGGCGGAGGGGCAAGACAGTAGAGATGGATAGAGACTCCTAGAGATAGAAATACATAAAGACCTAGAGAGGTAGAGAGAACTAGATAGTTGGATTGAGATGGAGACCTAGAGATGGACCTAGAGAGAGAGAGAGATGGATAGACCTAGAGATGGAGGGAGGCTTAGAGTGATGAATTGACCTAGATTCAGATTCAGACTACTTTAATGTTAGCAGCACATAACATTACAAAACACAGGAAATGTGATTGGACATGAAGTGGAGTCCCGTACAAACATATGAACATGATATAACAATACAGCTCAAACATCAAAGTCCACATCCAGCTACAGAGAGTTCAGCAGTCTAATAGCAGTTGGGACAAAAGATTTTAAATGAAGATTGGTTCTACAATGTGGTACAACATAACGTCGTCCTGATTGAAGCAAAGTGAACTCATCATTCAGAACATGATCAGTGGACATTATGATGTAAGTAAGTAAGTAAGCTTTATTTATATACCGCCTTTCACAGCGATGCGAGCCTTTCTCACCATCTGCTGGTTACAGAGAGCGGACAGGTCCCTCTGTCCAACTCCTATGAGTTTCGAACAGATGTGCACAATTCTGTCAAGACTATTTTTGTCTTTGTGCGAACGATTAGGGAGCCAGCAGACAAAGGGGATGCACAAAATGCTCTCAATGAAAGCCTGATATAGAATAGTGTAGCTGACATCAAAAGAGTTTAACTTGTGCATAAGGTAAAGTCTTTGCTGGCTGCGCTTCACAATAGCAGCAGTGTTGACATCAAATATCAGTTTATCATCCAATATAGTGCCAAGGTATTTGTAGTGGGAGACTCTCTCAACCCCTACCCCATGAACAATACTTAAAGGGGCTGGATCTCTATTTCTTCTGAAATCAAATACAAGCTCCTTAGTTTTAGCCACATTCAAGTCCAGGAAATGTTTGTCACACCATAAAATAAAATCACTGAGAGCCTCACCATGACCATTTCCATTGAGAAGAGATAGGAGGGCTGTGTCATCTGAAAATTTCACCATATAACGCTGCTCCTGTGTGCTTCTACACTCATTTGTGAACAAAATAAAAAGAAGAGAGAACGCACCCCTGATGGGAACCTGTGGAGATTGTGGCAACCTCGGACAAACAGTAATGAGCTGCTTGTGGGTCACACAGGTGCGTGAGACTGATAGACCTAGAGAGATGGATAGACCTAGAGAAAGAGAGTGAGAGACCTAGTGAGATGGAGAGAGACCTAGTGAGATGGAGAGAGACCTAGCGAGATAGAGACCTAAAGAAAGTCTTGTATAGAAACCTAGAGAAAGAGACTTGGAGAGATAAACAGATAATTGATCCTCTGAAGGAGAAATGCAGGAGTCCAGTAGCAGAAACACATAACCAAAAAAATAGATGCATCATCCTAAAAGTTACTATAAATAGAAACTAGACTGATCAGTGTTTAGCTGCAGTACCAACTTCAAAACTACAACACTAAAGGCGAGTTCAGACCAAAAGCTTCAAAAAGCTTTTGACGCGCTTCAACTGACGCCGGGATAGTTTTGTCATTTTGGTGCTTGAAGCTTTTGACGCAAGTGACGCGCCTGACGCCGGTGGGAGGAGCTTCTCTGTTGCCTGTAGTCAGGACAGCGGTGGATTTTTCTATGAGCAGCGAGCCTTTATTTGTTATATAAAGTAGAATAACGTTGTTGTAGGGCTTCAACAAAACATGTTCTGGGTTCACCACAGACTTGAGAGGCTGCAGTGTTTGCAGAGTTCCGTCATTTACTCCAGGAGCTGCGTACGGAGGAGTTTCGCTTTCAGCGGTACTTACGCATGTCACTCGCCCAGTCTGAGTTCTCAAACCCCGGCTCTCGCCTCTCCCTGCCTCTCCCCGGCTCTCGCTCGCCTCTCCCTGCCTCTCCCCCTGCCTCTCCCCGGCTCTCGCTCGCCTCTCCCTGCCTCTCCCTGCCTCTCGCTCGCCTCTCCCTGCCTCTCCCTGCCTCTCGCTCGCCTCTCCCCGGCTCTCGCTCGCCTCTCCCTGCCTCTCCCCGCCTCGCTCTCGCCTCTCCCTGCCTCTCCCCGCCTCTCCCTGCCTCTCCCCGGCTCTCGCTCGCCTCTCCCTGCCTCTCCCCGGCTCTCGCTCGCCTCTCCCCGGCTCTCGCCCGCCCGGAGCTGCCTTGCTCTGAGCCAGACCCATCGTCAGCCTGTTCTTATATTAAATAAACTACGTTTACTACACAGCATGTGTACAATGATTTTTGTTACTCAGAATGTTACTACTCATACAAATAATATTACTAATAACAATAATGACAATAAAACAGCAGCAGCAGATACATGACTTCTCTTCATGACAGAGACAGACCCTCTGCTGCTGCTGCTCCTCGTCTCCTGATTGGTTGAAGCCCGCGTCAAAGCTTCAAAAGCTCAGCTTTGCTCAACTTCGGCGTCAAAGGGATTGTTGTGATACGCGAGCGTTTCGCGCGTCAAAAGCTTCAAGTGAGCGCGTAGTACACGCGACTCTTGAAGCTTTTGACGCGCGTCAAGTGACGCCGGGGCTCTCGGCTTCACCTTTAACCTCTGTTTGCACCACTTCAATGTATTGTATGTAGGGCTGGGACTGGGTTAAAAAAATGTAATTAATTAGAGGCTTTGTGATTATCGCCATTATTCGCATTTTAATCGCATATAAATATTTGTCCTGAGAACAGTAAAAAGTAATTTTTTTTCACATGGATTTTTAGTTTACCATTGAATAATGACTGAATACATAAGCTGAAGCAACACATGTTCATTGTGGATGATATGGGGATAAGATCTTTCCCATCAAATAACGTATCTGTCATCGCCTCCACACACTCTGTCCATAACATACGCTTTTTAAGCCCAAAATCCACTGCACTCGATGTTGGGCTTTTGAGCACTAAAGCTTATAATACGTTTTTGATGTGTGCATTCGAACTAAAACATCAGCAATAGCAGCTCCCACACCTGTGTCGCTGCTCCTCCTTCACTCACACACCTGTGTCGCTGCTCCTCCTTCACTCACACACATGCGTCGCTGCTCCTCCTTCGCTCACACACCTGTGTCGCTGCTCCTCCTTCGCTCACACACCTGTGTCGCTGCTCCTCCTTCGCTCACACACCTGTGTCGCTGCTCCTCCTTCGCTCACACACCTGTGTCGCTGCTCCTCCTTCGCTCACACACCTGTGTCGCTGCTCCTCCTTCGCTCACACACATGCGTCGCTGCTCCTCCTTCGCTCACACACCTGTGTTGCTGCTCCTCCTTCGCTCACACACCTGCGTCGCTGCTCCTCCTTCGCTCACACACCTGTGTCGCTGCTCCTCCTTCGCTCACACACCTGTGTCGCTGCTCCTCCTTCGCTCACACACCTGTGTCGCTGCTCCTCCTTCGCTCACACACCTGTGTCGCTGCTCCTCCTTCGTTCACACACCTGTGTCGCTGCTCCTCCTTCGCTCACACACCTGTGTCGCTGCTCCTCCTTCGCTCACACACCTGTGTCGCTGCTCCTCCTTCGCTCACACACCTGTGTCGCTGCTCCTCCTTCGCTCACACACCTGTGTCGCTGCTCCTCCTTCGTTCACACACCTGTGTCGCTGCTCCTCCTTCGCTCACACACCTGTGTCGCTGCTCCTCCTTCGCTCACACACCTGTGTCGCTGCTCCTCCTTCGCTCACACACCTGTGTCGCTGCTCCTCCTTCGCTCACACACCTGTGTCGCTGCTCCTCCTTCGCTCACACACCTGTGTCGCTGCTCCTCCTTCGCTCCCACACCTGTGTCGCTGCTCCTCCTTCGCTCCCACACCTGTGTCGCTGCTCCTCCTTCGCTCCCACACCTGTGTCGCTGCTCCTCCTCCTCACAGGACACACAGTCCATCGCTCCAAACACAGCGCTCTTTCCCGTCTCTAACTCACTTGGATTTAGACACAGCTAAAGTTGGTCTATGCTTGTTATTGGGGCTGGGCGATATGGCTGAAAACTATATCACGATATAAGTCATTCATATCGGTCGATAACGATATATATTGAGTTTTTTTTTTTTTTACCTAAATAAATATATTTGTCGTGTGGGCTAACCAACCTTAGCAGCCTTGTTTACAGTCACGGGGCGATGAGGCTGGAGGAATATGTTCACACTGTGTCCCTCGTTGTTAGTCCTGGTTTAATCCTGTTTTTTTATTCCTGGTTTAGCTCCTGGTTTAGCTGTTTGAGGGTCTTGTGTCCCCGTGACCGCTCCGTGCGGCTCTCTTTGCCGCACATGCTTCCCGAGGAAAAAGTTAATCTCTTGCTTTCGCCGAATACATCGGGTCTGTCCACTGCCTCTGCCGCCGCACATGTTATTCCGCGCACGGACGTGCATAACCATTGACACGGCATTGAAACACGAGCTATAGATCCATGGACGCTACGCATGCAGCGGTTGTTGTTGTTTTTGCATTTCCCAAAAAGTTTTGCGGTTCCTGCTCGGCTGCTATTGGTCGAGAAGCCTCTGCCTACATCCCCCACAACGCCATGCGCTTATGAGTCGGCTTTACTTCCGGTGTTTTCTTCCTGTTTTTCGTGACGGAGTTAAGTTAAACTATCGAACATTCTATCGACCCCATTCTCTATTGATATCGAACACATGTCTATCGCGATATCCCGCGGCAGCCAAGAACAGCTCCACACCGTCAGCTTCGTCTCCTCAACGAGCGTCTTCCCTCAACACCAAGGGCCATCTTGTCCGGATGTCCACGTCGACCGAAGCTGGACATCTTGTGTTTGATCCGAAACCATGCATCAGCCAAATGACTAGCCGCGTGAACGACTCCACTCCACCGGGTTTGTTTACATCAGCCAGCCCCCAGCTGTGGCCCTCCGGCGGAGGTCCTCGCGATGCTTCTCCGCGAGACTTTGGAAAGTCACACCTGTGCCTGCTGCCCCTGTCTTCTCCTCCATCGAGTACTCTGCCTCACTGCTGCCTGGACCTTCTCCTACTGATGTTGCCACCATCAACCTCCCGCCCAAAACTCATAGGACTTTTTAGATGACTTTTTCTCACCTTCTAACACACTTCCCACATCTCTCATAACGCAGTCATACTTGGGGACTTCAACATCACATGGACAATAATAGCAACCCTCTCACCAAAGACGTTCTCCTCCTGATTTAGATAGTTTGGTTTACAACAACACATTCATTTCCCCAACCCACCCTAAGGTCACTTATTGGACTTAATCTCTGTGCTCTGGTCTCACTCCCACTGACTGTAAAACCACACAAAACACTCCCATACACAGACCAAAAGCTCATCACCAACAATAACAACCTCACCCACACCAAGACCTTCCTTCCCCGAACCATTTCTTCCCGTACAATACAAGGACCATAAACACTGCCACCTTCGCCTCAGATATCATATAACTCCCCACGACTGATCCCAAAGACTCCCCCGATGACCTGGTCTCCCACTACAAACCTTCTCTCCAAAACCTCCTGAACAATCATGCACCTCTCAAAACCCGACCCGTATCTTTTCACCTCTCATCACCCTGGTTCACCACTGCCCTCCGTCAGCTCAAATCCCAATGGACGTCAACATGATCGCTCTTCAATAAAACTCGGACTCACCATTCAATCAACAAATGACAAAAACCACATCATGCTATACAAGGACCAATCTCTCAGCTGCCAAAACCACCTACAACTCCTGTTTAATCCACTCCAATCATCAAACTCCAAAACACTTCTTCTCTCTTCTCACAATAAAACCAAACCCCCTGACTCCCTCCCACACCATATGCAATCCACTGACTTCTGTAACTCACTCATGTCCTTCATTACCCGTCCACAACCTCGCATCCCACCAACACCTGACCCCACATGGAGCTGCAGACTCTGGATTGGACCCCCCAGCCCCCCGCCCCCACTCATCCCTCATAGCCACATTCCAGCTTCATCTGCCTTCGCGTCCAATCCATCTCCGACTTTATCATTAAATCCAAACCTTCACTCTCATCTCGACCCTCTCCCTACCGTTCTGGTCAAATCCTGCGCCCTCTCACTGCCCCCCTCCTCACTAATATCATTCTCCTCATCTCTCACTCTGGTACTGTCCCTCTCTCATTCAAAACCCTCAGTCTCACCCATTCTCAAAAAACCAGGCTGGATCCAACCAACTTTCAACAACCTCGTCCATCTCAAACCTTACCCTTCATCTCCAAAATACTTGAAAAATCTGTCGCCTGCACAACTCCACAACCACCCTTCACCACCACAAAATCTACGAACAATTTCAGTCAGGTTTTACCGACCCCTCCACAGCACGAAACAACTCTTCTAAAAATCACTAACGATCTCCTCATAGCCTCTGACTCCGGTTAACTCTCCATCCTCATCCTTCAGGAACCTCACTGCAGCTTTTGACACCATTTCTCAACACCACCCTCCAGAACAGACTCTCCTCCAACGGCATCACCCACACCCCCCTCGCCTGGTTCACACTCCTATCTTTCTGGTCTCTCACAGTTACAAATCCATCTAAAACCCACAAATCGCCGCACTTACCTGTCTCATGCTGTGTCCCCCAGGCTCTGTCCTGAGGCCCCCTCCTCTCATCATCTATATTCTCCCCTACGGTCACATCCACCGCCGTCACAACTGTCACTTCCACTGCTACGCGGATGACACCCAGACTCTTGACCATGAGGGGAGGGGAGGACAATGTGTTATGGATGGAATTGAGAAGCTGGTAGACTTTGGAGAGAGTGGAGGGGGTGCCTATGAGAAGGACTTCAGTTTTTGAGCTATGTAGTTTTAGAAGTTTGGAAGAGAACCAGGAAAGAATTACTTGTAGACAGAAGGTGAGGGATGGATGGAGGAGAGAGGAAGATGTGTATAGCGAGAGAAAGCTGGTGTGTCATCCGCGTAGCAGTGTAAGTGAATGTTGTGACCGCGGGCGGAGATTGACCGAGTGGGAGAATATAGAATGATGAAGAGGAGTGTGCCCCATGACAGAGCCCTGGGGGACACACAGCAGAGTACAGGAAAAGTGCGGGATATGAGTGATTATGAGATTAATGAACAGTGAGCGACCAGAAAGATAGGAGTGTGAAACCAGGCCGAGGGGGGTGTGGGTAGATGCCGATGAGGAGAGTCTGTTCAGGAGGGTGTAGTGAGAAATTGTGTCAAAAAGCGCAGTAGGTCCAGAGTATGAGGAGAGAGTAAACCGAGTCAGAGGCTATGAGGAAGAACGTTAGTGATTTTGTAGAAAGCTGTTTCGGTGCTGTAGAGGGGACGGAAACCAGACTAAATTGTTCGTCTAGAGTTGTCTGGTGTGATAGGTTGTGAGTTGAGCACGACAATTTTCAAGTATTTTTGGAGATGAAGGGAAGGTTTGAGATAGGAGCACTAATAACATAATAACATGTTTTCTCCAAGGAGTGAACACAAAAGGATTCAATAATATTTTTTTTTTGCATTACAACATTTTGGGTTCTTTTATCAGTTCAACTCATGACAAATACATAAAACATTTCTGTTTAGATTTCAGTTTTGTCCCTCATTTTTGAGTGAAAATGCTTTGTCCATCACCTGGTTTAGGATCAGGGGCGGCTGACGGGATCTGGTCCAGAGTCAAGATTTCATATTTTCTTTTCAAAACAACGACTTTACCCGTTGAATTTTTTTGAGTCCATTAAGCATCAACTCGACATTGTTTAAAAGTATTGACAGTCGAAGTCTCTTAAAACAAGGATAATCTCTCTGAATAAAAGCCATGGATGCTAATGATCTTATGTTAGCGATGCTGCGGTGACTACAGGCGAAGGAGAAGTTTAGCACAAGTTTTAATTAAAGCCAAATCCAGGACACATCATCTTTAATTAATCCACCGCTGCATGAACAAAGAGCAGCGGGAAAACTGCAAGATCCTCTTTTGGAAGCAAACTTTTGAGACCCACATTGTCGAGACGTGAGCAGAGACGTGTGTTACTACAGCAGCCTCCTCCTCACAGAACACAGACATGAAAGGTTATTTGTATAGCACGGCGCATACACAAGGCAACTCAAAGTGCTGAACAAAACAAGACAGAAACAACATAAATAATCGCAGAACATTAAAAATATTAAAGATAAAATGCTTCAGTTGTTGCAGCAAAACAGACTTTTTTTTTTAACCTGGATTTGAACATTGTCAGAGAAGAAGCCTGTCTCACATTTTCAGGGAAGATGTAAAAAAGGTTTTCAGGTTTTAGCTGCATAAATCTGAAATGCTGTGATACCAGAATAAATAGAGTGGGAGTTTACTGACAAATAGCAAGCCCCGGTGATCCAAGAAGGCGTCCTGTTCAAATGAATGGCTTGAGCTCAGTAGAGAATGGGACTTCATGGAGACCGGGAGATTAGCTGAACACGCCTATATTTGGGCATGGTCTGGTCCTCCCGGTTCTGTGCAGTGGATTATCTCCCATGATGCGCTGCTCCAAATACGCGTGTGTGGCTCTCATGCACGTGCACAGAGGGGCTCGGCCGCGCTCTGACCAATCAGAGCTGCCCATCAGAGCAGCGGAAGAGCGGAGCCAGAGCGGGAATGAAAACAGCAGAGTTTGTGGCAGTAAAGTGTGGATTTAAAGAAAACCGAAGGATTTAAGAAGAAAGAAAGTTCAGGATGACAAGGGACACTAAAATCCCCACAAAATCCAAACTTTCTGAAAGCTGTAGGTTCTCTGTCAGCTGAGGTCTAGCTGTTTTTGTTTACTTTGAGATCTTTGAGAGGCCAGTACCTGTGCTCCTCAGAGTCCCAGCAGGAGGCCAGTCCCTGTGCTCCTCAGAGTCCCAGCAGGAGGCCAGTCCCTGTGCTGCTCAGAATCTGCTGCCTCGGCACAAACACACGGTGATCAGGGCGAGTCGTGATGACGGTGATTTACTCTGAGACTAAACGTGGCGCTCTGATCCTCGCCACCGCCGCTGCCGCCATATTTGCTGAATCACGGGCTTTGATCCACACCTGTGTAATCACTTCTCCAATCAAAGAGAAATAAGTGAGAGCGAAACTTCTGAAAGGCAGTCATGGAACGTGTGCGAGAAATGTGTTTAGAGAGCATTGGTATTGAAGCCAGACTCCAGAGGCAAAACTCTTTCTCTAGTCTTTGTGACTCAATCGCAGACAAAAAATAACCTCAAAACGACAAGACATTTTGTTATTTCCCTGATGTAAGATTGTTGTTTCAAAATGTGATCCTAAAAATGTGCTTTGGGGTTTCCAGCAGAGAAACTTGTTTTTGCCATAATTATTACATGTTGTTTGCCGGAACAGAAGGAAAAAGTCTTCTCAAAGTCCAATGTTGAGAGCAAAGTCAGACCACATGCTGTTTCCGTCTTATCAGATTTTTTTTTTATCTTGGCTCAGAGAGGGTGGTTCTCTCTTTGTCACATTTCTGTCTGAAAACGATGATCAAAAATGTGACAAAGGCCAAGAATAGATCTCTCCTTCCAGGACGATCCAGGTCCAGTCTATCAAACCCACCTCTCTCTCCACTCCTGATGGTCCTTCAATCGTTTGCCCCGTCCCGCCTCCTGATCATCATCCTCCATCTTCTTCTTCATCTGTTTCCTCCCAGCGCTGACCCAGCAGCAGGTCTTGGCCCCGGGGGAACACAGATCTGAGCATACATCTCAGGAGCTGTTAGATCTGAGCACCAAAGACTTTTCAATAAATCAATCTCATGTCATTTCCCAGTCTCTCCCGTCTCTTCAGTCTCTACGGCTTTTTCAGTTTTCCTGGGTTGAAATATTGTATGTGCTGGCTATCAGTGCAATTCTGTGTGTTTGCATGTTCTCCCTGTTTCTGCTTAGGTTTTCTCCAGGTGCTCCAGTTTCCCCGAACACTAAAACATGTACATTAGTTCAGGGTGAATGAGCGTGTGTTTGTGAGAGCGACTGTGGGACTACGGGCGGAAATTAACACAAGCCCACAATCTCGAGAAGTGTGTTTGATGGATGGATGGATCCATACAGTACATACTTATATACAGTATATACTGTACATGCATGCATGCATGCATACAGTACATACATACATACAGTACATACATGCATGCATACAGTACATACATACATACACTACAAACATTTGTTTGCAGATTTGAAAACCACATCTGACAAACTGTCATATGGAGATAAATAAAGTGTACCTAAACATAACCTTCTTGCTCTTCTCTGGAATATCTCACACTTGAAGTTTGTCTTTTCTGGGAAAGATTAAAGGTGGAAAGTAAGTGGAAAACAAGGACTTTTAGAAACTTAAAGCTGGACAACCTCACTTTATTTTTGTGTTCATTAGGAAAATTCAATCCATATCCATGCAGTGCATTGGGTTATACGGCCTTTTGAAGAATTAGTAGCGCAGGTTTGTGCTGGAGTGCTTCGCGCAACATGGAAGAGAATTTATTTTGGGACCAGATTGTGACCAATCACAGCGGACCACTGGCCCCCACTTTCTCGAGAAAATCTACAGGTCTCTCGTTAGCACAGACAGCTGAGGTTCGCCTCAGCCAAACAAGCATTATGGTGGAGGCCAACCTGAAACTTCCCGTGTCTTCGTTACCGGTTACTGCTTATGCAGCGGAACAGCCATCCAAAAGAAAGTCCCACAGAGAGGCCAAGCATTGGATGGACCGGGAGAGAGGCGTGCGGGAAGCACGGTTGACATGCAATCAAATGAGGAACAAAAAATACCTGCGACATTTCCATTTGTTTTTGAGCCAAAACAAGTGACGTATCCACATATTATTATATATCCATGATCCAGCTCTGTAAACAACAGCACACACGTCTGTGCAAACGAGCACGCGCATAGGGGGTAGTGGGGGGGTAGTGGGGGCGATAGCTTGGTGAGTGCGGGGAGGGGAGCAGGAAGAGCGAGGGCAGCGCTCACATTTGAAACTGCTGCTTCAAAGTCACAAAGTGAATTAGTCCAGCTTAAAAGCTTGGGTGAACTGTGCTTTTACAGAAGTGTTGAGTATTTACATCTGCCCTGTGTGTGTTTGTGTGTGTTCGTGTGTGTGCGTATGTAGAGAAGTGTTGACCTGGTCCTGTTGTGTGTCCTCAGCCCTGCTACGAGCGTGTGAAGGACTGGCTCAGCGATAACCTGGTGGTTCTGTGGATCTTTGCCCTCTGCACTGCCCTCACACAGGCGAGTACCATGGGGGTTAGAACCAGGCACACATATGACCATGGGGGTTAGAACCAGGCACACATATGACTATGGGGGTTAGAACCAGGCACACATATGACCATGGGGGTTAGAACCAGGCACACATATGACTATGGGGGTTAGAACCATGCACACATATGACCATGGGGGTTAGAACCAGGCACACATATGACCATGGGGGTTAGAACCAGGCACACATATGACCATGGGGGTTAGAACCAGGCACACATATGACCATGGGGTTAGAACCAGGCAATGTGGTCGGCAAAATATTTCAGGCATGAACTGAACAGATGTAAAAGAGAATGTTTAATGACACTAAACATTTACAGTAAGATACATACACACAGAGAGAGCAAGAGAGAGAGAGAGAGAGACAGATACAGAGAGAGAGACACACACAGGGAGCGAGAGAGAGACAGATACAGAGAGAGAGACACACACAGGGAGAGAGAGAGCGACAGATACAGAGAGAGAGACACACACAGGGAGAGAGAGAGCGACAGATACAGAGAGAGACACACACACAGGGAGAGAGAGAGAGACAGATACAGAGAGAGAGACACACACAGGGAGCGAGAGAGAGACAGATACAGAGAGAGAGACACACACAGGGAGAGAGAGAGCGACAGATACAGAGAGAGACACACACACAGGGAGAGAGAGAGAGACAGATACAGAGAGAGAGACACACACAGGGAGCGAGAGAGAGACACATACAGAGAGAGACACACACAGGGAGAGAGAGAGAGACAGATACAGAGAGAGACACACACAGGGAGAGAGAGAGAGACAGATACAGAGAGAGAGACACACACAGGGAGCGAGAGAGAGACACATACAGAGAGAGACACACACAGGGAGAGAGAGAGAGCGACAGATACAGAGAGAGAGACACACACAGGGAGAGAGAGAGAGAGACAGATACAGAGAGAGAGACACACACAGGGAGCGAGAGAGAGACAGATACAGAGAGAGAGACACACACAGGGAGCGAGAGAGAGACACATACAGAGAGAGACACACACAGGGAGAGAGAGAGCGACAGATACAGAGAGAGAGACACACACAGGGAGAGAGAGAGCGACAGATACAGAGAGAGACACACACACAGGGAGAGAGAGAGAGACAGATACAGAGAGAGAGACACACACAGGGAGCGAGAGAGAGACACATACAGAGAGAGACACACACAGGGAGAGAGAGAGCGACAGATACAGAGAGAGACACACACAGGGAGAGAGAGAGAGACAGATACAGAGAGAGAGACACACACAGGGAGCGAGAGAGAGACACATACAGAGAGAGACACACACAGGGAGAGAGAGAGCGACAGATACAGAGAGAGAGACACACACAGGGAGAGAGAGACAGACAGATACAGAGAGAGAGACACACACAGGGAGCGAGAGAGAGACAGATACAGAGAGAGACACACACAGGGAGAGAGAGAGAGAGATACAGAGAGAGAGACACACACAGGGAGCGAGAGAGAGACACATACAGAGAGAGACACACACAGGGAGAGAGAGAGCGACAGATACAGAGAGAGAGACACACACAGGGAGAGAGAGAGAGACAGATACAGAGAGAGAGACACACACAGGGAGCGAGAGAGAGACAGATACAGAGAGAGACACACACAGGGAGAGAGAGAGAGACAGATACAGAGAGAGAGACACACACACACACACAGAGAGACACAGATACACAGGGAGGGAGGGAGGGAGACAGATACAGACACAGAGAGAGACACACACACACACAGAGACAGACACAGAGAGAGACATATACACACACAAGGAGAGCGAGAGAGACAGATACAGAGAGAGAAACAGAGCGAGAGAGAGACACAGAGAAACGGACAGGGCAGTCCCTGTGCTCCTATAAGAGTCCGAGACCGAGACTTGTAACAAACAGCTGCTTTAAAGCTTTCAATAACTATTCCCCACACACACACACACACACACACACGCACACACACACACGCACACACACACAGATTCCCAGCGCTCCATAATCTCTCTGTTTGAAGTCAGTGGCTCCTTCACCTGCTCGCGGACTCGATCCTCTTCTCCACAGTTCAAAAGGAAAAACACGGCGCCCACGGTTAAATATCCGCCTGTTCAAAACCAGGAGAGATCAGCGTTTGTGTTTGTGGGGCCCTGAAAGGAGACGGAGGGCGGCTAATGCCTCCACCCGAGAAACACCGAGAATAAAGCAGATGATGTCACAGAAAAATATGATAACGAAGACATCTGCCAGATTTATAGGCGTCACTATGACACCTGTGGTTTAATATTATTTATTTAGAACAATAGAAATCTCTACCAAATCAGTTTTCAGTCAAATACAGCACTTTTTGGACACTAAAATACGCCTCACACATCAGAGCGAAACTTTGTGCATGAGCATTTCCCTAACTGGGTGTCATTGAGCTAGCGGGTTAGCATTATGCATCTCTGTGCTCTGATATGATTAATGTTGGATATGGTGAAAGCACTTTACATAGAAGAATTCTGTAATAACTGTTTTGTCAGAAAACAACTTAAAGGGCACATGACCTACATTCTCTGATCTCTCTGTCTGTGATCTCTCTCTCTGGTCTCTCTCTCTCTCTCTCTCTCTCTCTCTCTGTGGTCTCTTTCTCTGCTCTCCCTCTTTTTGGTCTCTCTCTTCTCTCTGCTCTCTCTCTAGTCTTTCTCTCTGGTCTCTCTCTCTCTCTGATCTCTCCCTATGGTCTCTCTCTCTCTCTCTCTGATCTCTCTCTCTGCTCTCTCTCTGGTCTCTCTCTCTCTCTGATATCTCTCTCTATGGTCGCTCTCTCTGATTTCTCTCTCGCTCTGGGCTCTCTCTGATCTCTCTCTCTGGTCTCTCTCTCAGGTCTCTCTCTCAGGTCTCTCTCTGGTCTCTCTCTCAGGTCTCTCTCTCAGGTCTCTCTCTGATCTCTCTCTCTCTCTCTCTGGTCTCTCTCTGATCTCTCTCTCTCTGGTCTCTCTCTCTCTGGTCTCTCTCTCTCTCTGGTCTCTCTCTCTCTATGATCTCTCTCTCTGGTCTCTCTCTCTCTGCTCTGGTCTCTCCCTGGTCTCTCTCTCTCTCTGGTCACTCTCTCTCTGCTCTGGTCTCTCTCTGGTCTCTCTCTCTCTCTGGTCACTCTCTCTCTGCTCTGGTCTCTCTCTGGTCTCTCTCTCTCTCTGGTCACTCTCTCTCTGCTCTGGTCTCTCTCTGGTCTCTCTCTCTCTCTCTCTGCTCTGGTCTCTCTCTGGTCTCTCTCTCTCTCTGGTCACTCTCTCTCTGCTCTGGTCTCTCCCTGGTCACAGCAGCAGCGGTGGTGAAGCTCTGGTGATGAGCTGCTTCCTCTGGTCGATGTCTGTCTTGGTTCATTTTCTCTGCTCGGGTTCAGAGTGAAATTCTAAAATCTTTATTGGCATTTTTCAACAACAAAACTAGCATTCCTCCAGTGGATTTCCTCTTCATCTTTTTGGTGGGAATAAGCAAGAAAAATAAAAAGAGACTCGGACTCGCTGCTGTTTCCAGGGAATGATAAAGTAATCGTTATATATCGGAGTCATTTCTGTTGTTTTAATCCGTGCTCCTGGCTCCGTCACCACCTCTTCACACCAACTGTTGCTTTACTCTGCACAGATGTCCCGGGCGAGGCTTAGTTTGGACATCTGTGTTTAGAGGTGACTTAAGGAGACAGGGCGTTATGTTGATAAATACACTGTGTTTAAGGATCAAATGAGCATAGTACGTGTCCTTTAAGTTAACATATTTTGAAAAATGCACACGTTTTTCAAATTTTGATGAATTGCTATCGGCGTGGCAAGAAGGTCGTGGGTTTGATTCCACCTCCAGGCCTTTGTGTGTGGAGTTTGCATGTGCTCCCCGTGTCTGTGTAGGTTTCCTCCAGGTGCTCCGGTTTCCCCTATACCTCTTAAAACATGTATAATAGGTTAGGCATGCAGAAAATGATGGAAAAAAAGTAAAAGTCTTAAAATCTGCTAAATGATTCTTAATATTCTGACAGCCTTAAAACATGATTCTCCAATGCGACAAAGAAAAAATTACTTGTTTTAAAAAAGGAACAGAAATGTCTCTCTTGGAATGAGGAAATAAAGCAACAGTTCTAGAAATAAGTCTTTGTCCCAGTGAGAGAGTCATACGCCCACAACAACAGTGAAGCTCGACTCTGTTCTGTGAAAGGCGCTTTTTCAATAGATGATTTACTTTTGAAAAGTTTATTTTTGATTCAGAATTGTACCACAATTATTCACAGTCTGCAGAGCTCTGTGGCTGTTGGGATTATGGAAATTAATGCAGAAATAAGTGTTGTTTATCTTTGGTTTTTAGATTTAAATTTGTTGTCTCTGGTCTCTCTCTACTATTTTTGGTCCCTCTCTGGTCTCTCTCTGGTCTCTCTCTGGTCTCTCTGGTCTCTCTCTGGTTTCTCTCTGGTCTCTCTCTGGTCTCTCTCTGGTCTCTCTCTGGTCTCTCTCTGGTCTCTCTCTGGTCTCTCTCTGGTCTCTCTCTGGTCTCTCTCAGGTCTCACTCTGGATCTCTCGCTCTCTCTCTAGTCTCTCTCTCTGGTATCTCTGGAGAATTATTCACAGTCTGCAGGGCTCTGTGGCTGTTGTGTGATTATGGAAATAAATGCAGAAATAAGTTTTTTTTTATCTTTTCCACATTTAAATTCAGTTTTTTGTTTCAACCCAAAACAGGCAGCATTTCTTTGTTCTCACAGACTCATTCAATCGCAGCAAACGCAAAGTCTGTCGCTGAGGGAGATTTCACTCATTGATTCGCAAAATGCCAATTCTGGAGGTTTAACGTTTTTCCAATGACTCCATGTTCAGAGTCTATCGCTCGGACCTGACGCGTGACTCAAAGACTTAATGAGTATAATATAGAACCTGCACCACAGGTACAAAATCTCTATCTTGAACATAAAATAATAAAGAAGTATAAAAAGTGATACATTTTGCAAAATAAGAGGCAAGTATAAAGTACTGTTTACATCTGTGCATGTTAGCAGCAGTATGTTTACATCTGTGCATGTTAGCAGCAGTATGTTTACATCTGTACATGTTAGCAGCAGTATGTTTACATCTGTACATGTTAGCAGCAGTATGTTTACATCTGTGCATGTTAGCAGCAGTATGTTTACATCTGTACATGTTAGCAGCAGTATGTTTGCATCTGTACATGTTAGCAGCAGTATGTTTACATCTGTGCATGTTAGCAGCAGTATGTTTACATCCGTGCATGTTAGAAGCAGTATGTTTACATCTGTACATGTTAGCAGCAGTATGTTTACATCCGTGCATGTTAGCAGCAGTATGTTTACATCTGTGCATGTTAGCGTCAGTATGTTTACATCTGTGCATGTTAGCGTCAGTATGTTTACATCTGTGCATGTTAGCAACAGTATGTTTACATCTGTGCATGTTAGCAACAGTATGTTTACATCTGTGCATGTTAGCAGCAGTATGTTTACATCCGTGCATGTTAGCAGCAGTATGTTTACATCCGTCCATGTTAGCAGCAGTATGTTTACATCCGTGCATGTTAGCAGCAGTATGTTTACATCTGTACATGTTAGCAGCAGTATGTTTACATCCGTGTATGTTAGCGTCAGTATGTTTACATCTGTGCGTGTTAGCAGCAGTATGTTTACATCTGTACATGTTAGCAGCAGTATGTTTACATCTGTACATGTTAGCAGCAGTATGTTTACATCTGTACATGTTAGCAGCAGTATGTTTTCAGTACGTTTTACTCCGACACCTCATTCACCTCATTCGCCACACCAGCAAGGACCAAGACCAGGTGGAAGAGCAGGACCACCCACTAAGTGCTGTGTCTGGGCAACAATCTTCAAAACTTTACTACACTTTTATGTCTGAAAAATTATCTGAGCTCTGAACATAGTAAAGCGCTTTGAGTGACCTTGGTTTATTAAATGCGCTATATAAATAAGCCTTACTTACATTCCTACTGGTCCAGCTTTTTCCAGTCCGATACTAGATAGATAAATAGAAAAAGATAGATAGTTTATTGATCCCCGTTGTAGAAATTCAGGTGTCCAGTAGCAGCAAAAACACATCCATCCACACACAAAGCGTTAATAGCACTAATCAACACCACATTCTAACCTGCTCCACACGGTCTGGCCTCCTCCACATCACCACACCCTCTTCTACCCTCTGCTCCTCCTCCTCTCTCCTCCTCTATCCAACGCTCAACCCTCCTCTCTCCTCTCTCCAGCTCTATGTCCTCCTCTCTGTCCTCCTCTCTCCTCGTCTCTCCAGCTCTATGTCCTCCTCTCTGTCCTCCTCTCTCCAGCTCTATGTCCTCCTCTCTGTCCTCCTCTCTCCTTCTCCGTCCTCCTCTCTCCTTCTCCGTCCTCCTCACCCCTCCTCTGTCCTCCTCTCTGTCCCCTCTGTCCTCCTCTCTCCTTCTCCGTCCTCCTCACCCCTCCTCTGTCCTCCTCTCTGTCCCCTCTGTCCTCCTCTCTCCTTCTCCGTCCTCCTCTCTGTCCTCCTCTCTCCTTCTCCGTCCTCCTCTCTGTCCCCTCTGTCCTCCTCTCTCCTCCTCTCTGTCCTCCTTTCTACCCCTTGTAACCATGGGGGGGGGGTGGAGCATTCAATCGACTCTACACCGAACATTTCCGTGTTCACATCCAGACTCAAAACTCACCTTTTCAGACTTTCTTTCCCCGCATGACCAGTCACATGACCAGCCGCATGACCAGTCACATGACCAGTCACATGACCAGCCACATCACATGACCAGTCACACCTTCGTCCAGTTCTGTTGTTTTCTGTTTTTAAGAATGTTCATGTTTTCACCCTTTTTTTCACCCTATGTTGGTACAGTGTCCTTGACTGTTTTGAAAAGCGCTTTTAAATGAAATGTAGTATTATTATTATTATTATTATTATTTTTATTGTAAGTACATGTATGAATGAACTCATGGTCGTGACCCGTGTGTCCCCTGTTGTGTGCAGATCCTGGGCCTGGTCTTCTCCATGACCATGTTCTGTCAGACCGTCAAAGTGGACACCTTCTACGCCTAACGCTGGGAGACACCTGCCCCCTGTCCCGCCTCGTCTCCCCCCTCTCCCCCCTCAGAGACTGTCCCCCTCCCCCCTCAGAGACTATCTCCTCCCCCTCCCTCCTCCCCCCTCTCCGGCTAACCAAGCACAGTGTCCGTGTCCTGCCTCAGTTGCCGTCTTATGGTTTGCTCCGTGTTTACCGCTACTTTTGTGATACATTTTTATGAAGCAGTATTATTATTACTACAACTACGACCTTCATGGATATGGACATGTATAAATATATCCCCTGTAGCATCAGCCAATGGGAGACGGACTGAGCACACATGCAAAAGCAGAGAGAAAATAAGTAATTTTGATGTTTTCACCAGTTAAGATGTGACCTCATATCAACATTTTTCTTTGTTTTTGATGTTGACGATTGTGGTGTATATTCCAGTGACTTTGAAACCAACTCACACCTGGCCGAGCTCTGTTGCATTAGCATTAAACGTGCACGATGCTAGTTTTGAGTGGGAGGCTCCGGACATTCGCTGGGTAGCAGGTGACGTCAGTGGTGCGAAAGTCCTCCGAGAGACAGGAAGTAAATCTCTCCTTTAAGAACCATGTAAGGCCCTGTTCCCATGGAGACACAGCCAAGCGATTCGCAAAAACAACTAAACCGCCTCGCAGTCGAAGTGCAAAGCGTCTACACGGCGACTGAAAAGTCGCCGTGTAGACGTGTAGAGGCAATGGGACTTTAGAGGTTCAATATATGAAAATATGGCCAAAAGTGGTACTGCACCTTCTCCCACTCTCTCTGATTCAGGTTGCCAGATATGCAGACGAATGCAGCTGGGACCATAATCGCTGATTTTTTTCGTCAACAACAAATCTATAACCAACACCTTTATCACAAAATCCTTTATCGAAATCCTTGATTGATTAATGATTTGAGAATCATAACAAGACCTTTTTTAGTTCTGAGGCCACATGTTACTTTAGCAGTGAGATTAGCTCGACGCAGTGAGTTCTGGCAACCCGGATCACAGACTTTCTGATTGGTGAAGCTAATGGTTAAACTAATTTTGAAATTCAAAAGATGTTATACTGCGCTCAACAGATGTGATACTTAGCATGATTATATTTAGCTTTGACTTTGACAATACCAGCAACACGTTTTTTTTTTACATACCAGCATTACTGTACCATTTAGATTAGATTCCATTAGAACAAATTGTCTCATTCTCGTCAAGTAACTTAAAACACCGTCTCTGTGTAACCAAAGGGCAAACCGATATCGTTTTACTGTCGCAGCGTCTCCGTGGAAACAGGGTCCAAATGTTCGTGTTCTGTGGCCAGTGCAGAAGTAGCAGCTGCTGGGAGTCTATTTTGCTAATATATATTTCTCTAAAAGGAGTCAGTTTTGAGGAAAATACCTGAGTGTGACAAGAATGGTTACTGAGCTGGAGGAGTTTAGTTTTACATGGAAGTCAATAGGAGAGAGAGAGAGAACAGGGAGAGAGACCAGAGAGAGACAAGAGAGAGACCAGAGAGCAAGAGATTGAAGACACCAGGGGTAACTTTTACATGTAAGTCAGCAGGAGCCACAGAGAGAGAGAGACCACCAGAGAGAGAGACCAGAGGGAGAGAGACCAGAGAGAGAGACTAGAGAGATAGATACCAGAGAAAGAGAGACCAGCGAGAGCGAGACCAGCGAGAGAGTGACCAGTGAGAGAGATACCAAAGAGAGACATGTAAGTCAACAAGAGCCAGAGAGAGATACCAAAGAGAGACCAGAGAGAGAGAGAGATCAGAGAGATAGACCATACAGAGGGAAACCAGAAATAAAGACCAGAGAGGGACCAGAGGGAGAAAGACAAGAGAGAGAGACCAGAGTTTACTTTCACATCAACAGGAGCCAGAGAGAGAGAGAGACCAGAGAGAGAGGGACCAGAGTTTTCTTTCACATGTATGTCAACAGGAGCCAGAGAGAGAGAGACCAAAGAGAGAGACACCAGAGGGAGAGGGACCAGACAGAGAAACTAGAGTTTAAGCCAAAAGGCCTCGGAGATGGAGAGACTTTAGACAGACGGTTCAGGAACAGGTTTCAAACACTTGCTATGATCGAGTCTTTTTAATTAAGATTCAGTTCACTGCATTTGCCATTTGCAGTAAAACCACATTGGAATAACTGTACAAGACCCCAGTGTGAACCAGAGAGAGAATATTCTTGATTGATTCTGTTTGAATAACAGAGTAATCGACAATATCTATTCAAACATTTCTCTATTTTTATATTTTTCTCATTAATTTGACCAGTTTTCGCCCTTTACCTTTTATAAGCACTGCCAAGAGCTGCACACGTTTTATTTTCTATGTTCCATGAATATTGCGGATGTCTCAGCATGTGACAGAATGCCTTTGACAGTTTTTAAATCATCTCGTTTAAATATAAGTGTGTATCTCGCCGTGTTCTCGTTTCTACATTAAACTTGTGTCCGATTCGATGCAGACAAGTATTTGGGGAAAAAAATACGATATTCAAGTTGCTCCAACACTAAAACAAAAAATGTGCTTCTATCGTCTGTCTGATGCCGATGTCCGAGATCAAAGTGTAGCGAGGAAACTTCACAAGCGTTTTTACTTTTTTGTTTTTGTCTCAGAGGTTTCTCCGTGTGTGTCGTTTCATGTCTTCTGTTTCGTTCCATCGTCGCCGCGTTTGGAAAGAGGTTTTTCTTTGTAAATGGGAGAGCACAGAGTGGAGCATGTGTGCAGAGAGCAGAATAAATGTTCTATACCGAAACCTCTGAGTGACTGTGATTCTTGTTGGGGAAAATGTGTTCAAAGAAAGTATCAAACCCATAAAACATCTGTGGAAAAGTTAAATAATGACATAGAACAGGCCTGTTCTATGTCATTATTTAACTTTTAGACATTCTGTTTCATTATGAATTGTTGCAGGTCCTGGGTTCGATTCCAGCTCCAGACCTTTCTGTGTGGATTTTGCATGCACTCTCCATGTCTGTGTAGGTTTCCTCCAGGTGCTCCAGTTGCTCCTACCACTAAGAACATGTACAACTGCTCCCGTATGACAACGCTTTTCCTATCTTTGTGTGGAGCAAACAAAAGCCAAAAATAAATCAGAATTTACTACTAATATTCAGACAATTGTAAAATAATGTATTGATTGATCAGGAAATGTGGGGAAAACTTATTTAGATTAGCTTTCACTAATTGCCAGATAACTAAATGCTAGTTAGTGTATACATTAGGTTTAAAGGAGCAGTATGTAAACATCTGGCCAAAAGTGGTACTGCAGCTTCTCCCACTCCCCCTGACACAGGTTTCCAGATATGCAAAGAAATCCAGCTGGGAACATACTATCTGAAGAGTTTTGACAACAACAAATCTATAAAAAACACTTTTTGACAAAGGCCTCAATATAGATTCTCATTTTTTTCCTTGTTTTGTCATTAATGATTTGAGAATCATAAAAAGACCTTTTTTAGTTCTGCGCCACATGTTACTTTTGCAGTGAGATTAGCTCGATGCGTTGAGTTCTGGCAACCCGGATCACAGACTTTCTGATAGGTGAAACGGTGTGGGGCGGGACATCGACATGGACATCGGACATGAAAACAATAACAAGATTTAGGGGCTGTAAAACTAATTTTGAAAATCTAAAATCTTCCAACTACTGATAACAGTCAAAGAAGTATTTGAAAAGAGCATGTTTCATTAATGCCTTTTGACAGATTAGGGCCCTTTAATCAATCAATCAATCAATCAAAGTTTATTTGTAGAGCGCCTTTCATCCAGGGCAACACAAAGCACAGTCCACATCAAGGCACAAATCATCACATAAAACAAACACCAGAATCACAATTAAAGAATTAAAGGCACACCGCGGACTTTGTGACCTAAAGAGTTGACACATATGAGTTATTTTATATGAATACTTGGGCCAATATACAGCGCTTGACACTTGCAATGCTCCGAGCGGGGCTGCCCTCTTGAAATACCGCCCATGTAAGTTTCGAGCAGACGGACCGTCTGCCACCAGGTCACGTGACTTGGAAGAAATACTTGCTTTACGGCTACAGGCGCTGATATACTCATGGAGCTAAGGCTTTTGCTACTCATTTTTCACCTGCTCGACTCCTGGTCATGGCTGAGGCAAGGAAAAATTTTAAACCTTCGGAGGAGGCTAAAAAGAGGAAACGCGAAAGGGATCGTGCTGTAAGCTGCATGTCTGTATGAGCGCTGCTCTTCACCTGGTTCCTGGATGTCATCGACCGCAAAGATGTCATTCCACGCAGCACGAGCTAGACGCAGAACTCCCTCATCCAGGATATAGAAGTCCATGTGTGGTAGATTACTAATGCAGCGGTCTGGAGGCTGACCACAGCAGAGTCTCTCAATATCTGTAGGCATGTCTCTACAGTTTGAACACACACACCAGTGCATGCTGTCTGAATACACACTCAAAAGACACCGGCTGACTGTTGACTTTTGCGACAGTGCTGAGTTGCTTGTGGCCACTAGGGGCGCTAAACGTGAAAGTTGCAGGTCTAGCGCCCCTAGTGGCCAAGAGTTACACGGTGTGCCTTTAAAATCTCACAAGATATTAAAACCATTAAAACTTTAAAATTAATGATGACTTGACATAAAAACATACATATTGCTACTTTAACGAGCTCTTTATTTGCATTTATTAAGCACAAATTAGTGTTTCTTCTACATGGCCTTATTCAACATCTATCTAACTACTGACAGACTCTTTCCCTGTGGGTTAGAGCTAGCTTAACATGTGAGGGCTAACTTTCAGTGTGGATCGTTTCAAATTTATCAAATGTTTCTTATTTTGAGCAGATTCTGACTGAGCCTTAAAACAAGATTCACCAACGCGACAACGCAAAAAGGACCTTACTTTGAAAAGTCTACTTTGGAATGAGAAAATAAAACTGAATGACTTTGTCCCATTGGAGAATTCAAGCACTCATATTTGATCATTTTGAAAGAATCCAGTGCCTGAATCT